AAGAAATAATTATACGAAAGCATTCTCAACTGATTTTCAAAATAGAAATGGCTTAATTTAAGAGTAAGTAGAAGTACCCTTCTCGAGCTTTCTTTGTAGGATAAAGCTTTTCATTTTGCAGAAAACTTTATATCCTGTTACTAACCCGCTTTTAGGGACCAAATCTTTTCTGAAACAAATTTTTTGGCTAACTATTCATATCAATTTAACAGGCAATGTAACAATAGCTTTATTACTTTCTTTTTTTAAAGGAATCTTATAAAATTTTGCATTTCATCACAGTTGGTTAAATAATCTGTATAATCAAATCTGGCCACTTTGTACTCCGGTTTAGGAGGAAAAAATACATGAGTGCTTCTCCAAGGGCTGCTGCACTGTGCATCTTCAGGGGTATTTGTAATATCATACATACGCTTTGCTCTTGTGGCTAAGGCACAACTCACAAAAAATCACAATATGAAGAGTACCTTCTGGAATTGTTCAACTCAACAGCCTTAGTTTTATCTCGAGGAAGCCAATGACCAATATACAACTCTAAAAATGGTAAACAAGTTTTTGGACTTACCAGCAGTTTAAGCAGCCAAAACCGGGATTTATAATAGAAAGTTTTGGTGGGGTTGATAAGAAAGAAAACCATAAATCCATAAAGGGCAAGTGGATACACATATGTGGGTATGACACTAATTGGAGCAAAAAAGCATGCCAGAAGGCTCAGGCACCACAATATCCCGAGGAATCCAGCAATCTGGTGAAGGATGGGAAAGACAAAAAGAGACGAATTGTTATTTTTAATTTTAAAACCATTGTTTTACCATTATTTTTATTTTTACCATTATTATAATATCTATAATAAAACAAAGGTAAGAAAAATGATTAGTTATTAAGCAATAATCCAGTTTGAGCAGAAGATGGATTTAAGTACCCACTAAACAAGCTATATAGGTTATGTAAATTCTGTGGGATATTACTTTGATGATGCTTTGATTACCTCAAAGAGATGCTGATGAGACAAATTGCTTCTCGGATTAAGTTCAAAGATGAGCACATGATTTACTCCAGCCTGTCTCCAACCATACGTATTGATGCCCAATAGAAAAAGGAATTCAATCAGAAGAAAGCCACCCCGATAGATTCTTATCAAGGGCCATATAATTCTAGTTTCTTCAAATTTAAATACAGCTGAAAGAATATTAATATACTGGTTAGTAATAACATCTATAATGTCTTCATCATTTTTTCATTCTCAATGATACAGCACTGGCACAGACACTTTTAATAAATGAACCTAAACATAGATTATTTTAAGAACCTGACAAATTTGCTGCCAAGTTCTTTCCCTTCTTTTTACTCTTCACAAGGCCACTTAAAGAATTTTCTAAAACTTGACTTTTAGTTACCATGCTGGTCAATGTTCCATGAGTTTCTTGGCTTATAGAGAGTAATGGTGAAATGGTTTTGAACCTTAAGATCAATTTTGTCAGCTGGGGATTTCTGGCATGATATAACCTCTTTGGCTTAGTTTGCTCCATCATTATATGGAATATAGTAATACCTACCTCAAAGAGTTATTATGAAAACTTATATGTCATACAAATGAATATCTACAGAATGCTTAGTGCTAAGCATTATTCTCAGTATTTTCAAATACAATACCTTAATAACTCAGTGGCTCTTAAAGTTAAAAACTATTTTCTCCAGTTGATTGATGAAGAAACTAGAATACAGAAAGGTTAAGTCCTTTGTATGAACCCAGACCATTTTGCTCCAAAGCTCACACTCTTCAACACCACGTTCTATTGCCTATATAAACAGGCCTATACAAATGTTCAGTTATCATCATTATTGTACAGCTCTCCAATAATCATGTTTAAGCACCTTAACCTCATAATTCAAGTTCTTTTCAATCTTACCACTAACTTACTTTCCCCAAATTTTTCTCACAGCATCCCTAAATATTAACTCTCAGCTCCTGATGAATTTTGTTATCTTTGTAACAAATCTGCTTTTCACATTTGCTTATACTATTTTCTGCACCTGTGGTCTTGTTCTTTCTCTCTAACTATTCAAATTTTAGTTACTATTTAAGAACCAGATCCTTACCTGCTCTTAAATTCACTGAATCAATGTGTTTTATTTTGAGATTATTGTGTGTCAAACATTTCCATTAGGCCTAGTGATTTTCCAAATAACTATAACATTTATTGATAGTAGTACTATTCATTTGAAATCTAATTATGTACTAATATATACTTAACTTAAACAGCCATTATTTATCTTTGTGTTCTCTACGGTACATAAAGCATTTAACAATTAAAAAATAGGCTGAGCATAGTGGCTCACACCTGTAATCCCAGTACTTTGGGAAGCCAATGTGGAAGGACCACTTGAGGCCCAGAGTTTGAGAAAAGCCTGGGCAACACAGCAAGACCCTATCTCTATTAAAAAATTAATAAAAATAGCTAGGCATGGTGGTGTGCACCTATTGTCCCAGTTACTTGGGACCTGAGTCCAGGAGTGTGAGGTTGCATTGAGCTATGTTAATAACCACTGCACCTTATCTCGCTGGGCAACAGAGCAAGACCCTGTCTCAAAAAAACAAAAAACACATTGACAACAAAATAAAACTCCCCCAAACAGGGTACAAAAAGCCTTTGGTTTGGAATCAAGTACTACAGACCAGATTTTAAATCATGGCTAGGGAAAATTATTTAAATTTTATAAGTCTCAGATTCCTTGTCAATGGGAATAATATCTATTCTTCTAAGTTTTATTAAGAAGATTAAATGTGGATAACATGTATCAAATGCCTAGAACAATATCTGGCTCATTATGAGTATTCAGTATGTACTGGTTTTTCCTTTTACTTAAAGAAACTTCATTTATTCATTCATTTGACAAATACTTATTAGAGGACTGTTATATCTAACACCATTCTAAAAGCTAGGATTCAATGATGAATAACAGACAAAATGTGTGTACTTAAGAAGTTTCTATTCTCATACAATGTCAGATAAAGGGTTTGAAAAAAAAATAAGGTAGGGCATGGAAATAATGAATGATGTTAGATAGTACTGAAATAGGGTAGTCAGGGAAGAATTTCAGGAAATGACATTTGCAAAGACTTCAAATAGAGAACCAACCATTGCAATATTTGGAGGAGCAGGGCTCCAGGCAGAGGGAAAGTACAAAGGACCTCAAGATAGATTGTTCCAGGAAGAAGACCAACATCATTATGATTGGAATGAACAATGAACTGGATAAAAACATGGCCAGTAGTACATCAGATAGGACTTTGTAATACTTTGTCAAGATTTAAGCTTTTACTCTGCTGTACAAACCTGTGGAAAGTTTTGCACATAAGTGACATGACCTGATCAATAAAGGGCTACATCAGCTGTTATGTGAAGAACAGATGCAAAGGAACAAGTATAGAGCAAGATTAATAAGGGGGTTATAAATGGAAAACTGTATATAGTTTTGCATCTTGGTTCCTAAGCAAAGACCACAAGTATATTATCACAGTCAGGAAACAAAAGTAGAGTAGAACTTCCATAGTTGACTAGCTCCCTACATCAACCATCTCCTTAAGCTGACCTCATTTTCAGACCAGACACACACCACATTTACTTATCAGTTCAGTAGGCCTTGTCCTTATGTTGACCACCTTTGTATGTTGACCAGTTTGTTACTATCCCTTGAATAGTCAACTTATAGAAGTTCTACTATAGTAAGTAAAAAATCCCAAAGAATCCACAATAAAATTACTGTAGTTAGTGAATGCATCACAGTTACAGAGCACAAGATCAACACACAAAATACAGCAGTGTTTGTATATGCCAGCAATGCACAATCTGGACAACATTCCATGCAATGTTCCTTGCATGGGACAGGCATATAGATGAATAAAATAGGATTGAATCCAGAGATAAACCTATATATCTACGGCTAAATGATTTTCAACAAGAGTACTAAGACTATTCAGAGGAAGAGAATTATTCTATTCTCACTAGTGTTGATGGCTGGACACGGTTGTTCACACCTATAATCCTACCACTCTGGGAGGCTGAGGTGGGCAGATTGCTTGAGCTCAGGATTTTGAGACCCACCTGAGCAAGAGTGAGACTATCTAATAAAAAAATAGAAAAACAGGCAAGAGGATCATTTGAGCCCCAGAGTTTGAGGTCGCTGTGAGCTACGATGATGCCA